GGTTGGGGCGCAGCACCGGGGGTTGCAATCCCGTGGCCGGTCCCCGGTACGGGCGCGACACCGAGGGTTGTGATCCCGTTACCGGTCACTAAAAAAGACAAAAAAGGAAAAAAATAATAATAATAGTAATTATAACAGATAATATAATATAGTAACAGGTATAATACAGCATTATCTCTTGTACCTGGCATTTTTCTAAGCACCTTACATATTTTCTCATTTGAAGCTTCGTGACCAACCTATGACATAGCTATTTTATGAGATGTGACGAGAAAACTGAAAGATAAGAAAACTGGGGCTCAGAAAGGTTAAAGGATTTGCTCAATATCAAACTATTAAGTGATGAAGCCAGATTTTTGAACACAGGTAGTCTAACTTCAGTGTGTGATCTTAGAATTTGATGTATAAATAATTTGCTGATTTGATTATTAGGACTAGTTTTTGTTTTACTTTGATATTTATTTACTTCCTGTAGAAGAATTACTTTTTCTTTTATTGTTAAGAAAACAAAATAATATTATTATTTGTATCCTTAATACAAATAAAATGTAGAAAATATTTGTAATATTAGTTTGGGGGAAATCTCTGAAACATTTTTAAATGTAGAGTTCTGTGGTGTCTTAGTCCATTCGTGCTGCTATAACAAGATACAACAGACTGGGTGACATGAACAATAGAAATTTATTTCTCACAGTTGTGGAGGCTGGGAAGTCCAAGGTTAAGGCTGTGGCATTCAGTGTCTGCAGATGGCCTTCTTGCTGTATTGTAGAAGGTGGAAGGGCAAAAAGAGCCTAAGCTAGCTCCCTCAGCCCTTTTATAGGGCACTAATTCATTCATGAGGGCAGAGCCCTCATGACTTAATCACTTCCTCAAGTGCCCCACCTTTTAATACCACCACAATAGGGATTAAGTTTCAACACAAGAATATTGGGGAACATTCAGTCCATAGCATGTATCAGTAAGTATATTCATATTGTTCTGCAACCTTCACTGTTATCCATGTGTAGAACTTTTTCATCTTCCTGAACTAAAACTCTGTACCCATTAAATACTAACTCCCCATTCCTCCCTCATAATGTCCTAAAGGTTCATCCATGTTGTAGCCTGCGTCAGAATTTCATTTCTTTTTAAGGCTGAATTATATTGTATGTGTATACCTCATTTTGCTTATCTGTTCATCTGTTGATGGATACTTGGTTTTCATCTATCTTTTGGCTATTTTGAATAGTGCTGCTGTGAACATGGACGTACAAATATGTCTTCAAGTTTCTGCTTTCAGTTCTTCTGGGTATATACTCAGAAGTGGAATTGTGGATCATATGGTAATTTGGTGTTTAATTTTTCAAGGAATCGCCATACCATTTTCTGTAGCAGCTGCACCACTTGACATTCCTGTCAGCAATGTACAAGTGTTCCAATTTCTCCACATCCTTGCCAACACATTATTTTCCGAGTTTTTTTTTATATATGTATAATAGTTTTAGAAATGGTCGTGAAGTTAAAATAGTAAATTTTATGTTATGTGTGTTTTGCCACAATAAAAACATCCCCACAAAATTTAAGTACCAATATTTGGACAGTTCTGCCAGTGAGGATAAATGTGGAATCACTATAGTCCCTAAGAATATATTTTACTCTTAAAGTCTATAACACACTGAAATGGCACTAATAGTTAAGATGGTCTGAAAATATTTGACAGTTTTACAAACCTAAAAATGTAATAACTCTTCTTTTTAGTGCTTTGGATCCAGTTACTGGTTAACTTTTGTTTTTGTTGTTGTTTATCACTAGGAAAACACCATAATTCTGCAGGAACTGCTCCCTCTGCGGGCCCAAGTGGCCAAACTTCTTGGCTATAGCACACACGCTGACTTTGTCCTTGAAATGAACACTGCGAAGAGCACAAGCCACGTAACAGTCTTTCTAGGTTAGTTCTCCCTTTTTTTTTTAAAATCAGTTGTATGGTTTCCATTTTTTGTCAATGACCGTTTTGCTGTGTCAGTCAACTTGACACAGGGCCTCAGTACCTCATGTGCCTTGGAGAACATCCTGTTTTACATTCATTCAAGAGAAATTTGTTGACCACCTATTATGTGTTGGATAGTGTGCTTGGTTCTAGGGGCTGCTTATTGTTTATATTACTATTACAGTCCTTGCTTCATTCTATCTTGTATATCTTGTTTGGGCTGTTTATAATAATGCCTAACATGGCATCTAGGGTCCTAACAGAGTATCAGCCCATTGGCTTTATTCACTGTCACCAGGTATTTGGTAGTTATAGCATGGCTACTTGTGAATTCTTATGAAATAAAGTGATCAATATGACATAAATGAGACAGAACATGTATAAATGAAAATTAAACATTTTATACTCCAGAAACCACATTTTTACGTAAATCATAGTTTTTATGTTCATGACATTTGGTCATTGGTACTCTTCCCCATCCTTCTCGCAATCTAGGTGTCACTATTCCAACAGTCCCTCTGTTTTCTGATTCATTTTAGTGAAAATGGTTGAATAACTTAGCCATGATAAAGATACTAATTTTTGTTGTAATCATCTCTAATCACAGTCGACCAAAGTATGGTTTTCTTTTACTTTCCTCACTAACCCCTTTCAAACTTTATTTACCTTCAACAACTTGTCAAAGTATTTATTCTATTGCTTTGATATCTTTTTATTAGCTTAATTAAGTTGGAGATAATTAATAATGTATTAAAATCAACTATTAGCCTAAAATTTACTCCACTTTGTCCTCAATAGCCATACTTTGACTTATTAATGTATGTGCTGGAATCATATATGACATGTAACAGGTGCTCCATAAATGGCTATTATTTATTATTATATAACTCATTTATTCATTCATGAGGCACTTATGAAATAACTTCACAGAATTAGGCAGTAAGCAGACCGGCCGCTCACTGGCTGAGCAAGGTGCGGGGGCAACACCGAGGGTTGCGATCCCGTTGCCGGTCCCGGTCTGGTTTGGGTGCGACACTGAGGGTTGCGATCCGTTGCCGGACACGAAAAAAGACAAAAAGGAAAAAAAAAAAAAGAATTAGGCAGTAAGCTAAATAGTAGGGCTATAGAAAGGAATAAGACAAGGTTCTTTCCTCGGTGGATTTTCCACTTAGTTTAAGCAGCAGAGATGTAAACAGCTAATTGTCGTGTCGTCTGATGCATGTTATACAAGAGCATGGCTCAGGGAGTTAACAGGTTTGTTGAGAATGTGTCCTTTAGTGGTGACTGCATGTACTGAAATTTTTCCTTTGTAACCACCTGATTAACTTAATTCCTTTAAAGTACTTTTCCCTCTAATTTGAAATTGGCCTGTTCCCATGCAAATTATCTTCTTGCTACCTGTATTCACATATTCTCTTGAGGTCTGGCCAGTTAGCTCAGTTGGTTAGGGTGCAGTATTCTAACACTAAGGTCATGGGTTCAGATCCCCCAACCAGCCAGCCACCAACAAAACAAAACAAAACACATATTCTCTTGCTGGCCTAGTGGAAACTATATCTCTTTGTATTCTCCGTGAGACTCCTCCTCTCTCTCACAGTGTCCCTCAGGCTGCTGCCTCCATCTCACTCTGTGGGGCTGACTCCTGAACTGCTATCTCCCTTACAGAGCTGATCGCGTGTTTACCTTAACATATGTAACAAATTGTGAAAAATAAATAGATAAGAGTGTACTCCTTTAACCAAATACAGAAAGGTCAAAAATTGACCACAGTATATAAATAGTGGTACCCAGAAGTTTCTTTAGCTAAAAACTGGAACGGCTGTGTCCAAATATACGTTCTTCATAGGAATGAGGTAGTGAGAAACTAAACCCATGGCTATCAAATGTGTTCAAGCACATTTCTAGATAATTTTGACTGCAGGTCACATCGGATTTATCATCTGGCTTTCTTAGGAGCCTAACCCCATTGAAGAATAATTGTGTACATGAGATTAGTTTCACAATTTTTCCCTGAATTATAACATTCTTGAGTCAGAATTCTCGCTGATCAACTTCAGCTTTGTTGATGCTGTGAGGAAGTTGAGGCCTGGTTTTGGTGGTGCTCAAAGAAAAAGGGGCAAAGAGCCACGAAATAAATCACCCCAAAGAGAAAAGTCATGCTATCGTAATAGAGCCTGCTTTCCCCCACTCCTTCCCGTTCCTCCTAAATTATCTGTATTAAGTACTAGATAAAGCTAAAGGAGGAAGCACCATGCTAAAACATTGGCAGGATGTATGAATGTGCTTACTCCCAAGAGCAATAGATCCCTAACTTTTCCCATTTCTTTCACAGATGATTTAAGCCAGAAATTAAAACCATTGGGTGAAGCAGAACGAGAGTTTATTTTGAATTTGAAGAAAAAGGAATGTGAAGTGAGAGGTTTTGAATACGATGGGAAAATTAATGCCTGGGATCTGTATTATTACATGACTCAGACAGAAGAACTCAAGTACTCCATAGACCAAGAGTTCCTCAAGGAATACTTCCCAATTGATGTGGTCACTGACGGTTTGCTGAATATCTACCAGGAGTTGTTGGGACTTTCATTCGAGCAAGTGTCAGATGCTCATGTTTGGAATAAGAGTGTTAAACTTTACACTGTGAAGGATAAAGCTACAGGAGAAGTATTGGGACAGTTCTACTTGGACCTCTATCCAAGGTACCGAGGATCACATTGTTGGAAGGGACCTTAGGGACTCAACTCCTACCCAGTTTAAGACTCTTCTCTTTTATATTTCCTGTGTGTAGTTCTTAGTATTAGGGTTAAAAATGTAGGCTCTGAAGCCAGAATGTCTGGCTTCATCACTTGCTAGACAAGTTACTTAATTTTTCTGTGCCTGAGTTTCCCTACCTATATTATAGGCCTTATAAAATAGGAATACTAATAGTACCTCCTTTGTAGGGTTATTGTAAGGATTAAATTGGTTATTTACATGCGAAGCATTTAGAACACTGCCCAGCACATAACAAGTACTTAATAAATGTTAGCTGTTACCATCATCATTATCATGTAGTTTGTGAACTGCGTTTACTTAGTTTAAAATTGACCCCAAAAATGTTTATTGTTCAGATAAAATCGTCTGTCGGCACCCTTAAATCTACAATCACTCTCCTCAGTCTGGCTGAGGCAGCACAGTGTAGTAGGAATAGCAAAACCTTTGCAGTAAGTCAAACTTGACTTTGAATGCTTGAGTGACATAACCTTTTGAGATTGTTTCTTCTTCTGTAATATGAGACCAATAATCCCTTTACAGGATTGTTTTGTGCATCTAAAGACTATATATGCAATTCACTTAGCCCAGGCATCAATCAGTGATAAGAATCAAAAATATTATCATTGTCTCTGTAGCATATAACCATGGAGTCCACAGTGTTTCATCAACACAAAAGAATTTGGATCTCTTTCTCCCTAGGCTACTTTCTAAAAGAAAGCCAACCTGTTGCAATTATTAATCCATTTTACTATATAGACCAAAGGAAATTATAGTAGCCCCATAGTTCAGTAACACGTACAGGTTTGTAATCTACTGACTTTGGGTGCTGGGAAGGGGGCTGGGTAACTTTGTTATCCAGTTGGTGGGCAGAGGTGTCTTTTAGCACCTAGATGGTTATCCCAATGTTTTATGGACTTAATTTCACTTATGGTATGAACTAAAAATAAAACCATGTGTCAAATTTAGATTGCTCTATTTTTAATTAAAAAGTTGCAGGGGATTGGCTGGTTAGCTCACTTGGTTAGAGGATGGTGCTGGTAACACCAAGGTCAAGGGTTCAAATCCCCTTACTGGCCAGCTGCCCCCAACCCCCCAAAAAAAGTGTCAAAGTGTCAGGATACAATTTTGAGCCAAGAATTCTTTGAGGGGTAATCCTTCAGCATTGGTGTCTCCTATAACTGTCCCTAGATTCTCTTATCCTGCTATGTCTCTCCCAAGATAAGATTGGTTTCTTTTGTACTCAGAGATTAGGTCATTGCTGCCAGCACTCTGGTATGGATACCAGAGGGTAATCTTTTGTGAGAGAGACCTAGTTCACATTCATTTCCTGTCACCTTACATGCTCTTTTTATAAAAATAAGAGGGATTAAGTTGTTTTATTTGTCTAACTGACTCAAAAAAGGGTATTCAGAGTATGTTTTTATTTGTTTATGCTTTTGTTTTTGGCAGCTGGCCACTATGGGGATCCATACCCTTATCCTTGGTATTATAACACCATATACTAACCAACTGAACTAACTGGCCAGCCTCTGGAGTAGGTTTTTAAAAGACCATTTTGTTTTTGTTTTTGTTTTTTTTTTGTTGTTGTTGTTTCTGGGTTTTTTTGTTTTTCTTTTTTTTTTGACCGGTAAGGGGATTGCAACCCTCCGTATGGTGTGGTCTGCACCACGCTCAGCCAGTGAGCACACCAGCCATCCCTATATAGGATCCGAACCCGCAGCCTCAGCGCTCCCAGCGCCACACTCAACCAAGTGAGCCACGGGGCCGGCCCTTGTTTTTGTTTTTTAATGACATTTCAGTTTTTATTATTCACTAAATACTGAGATTCTCAAATAAAACAAAACAAAAAAAACTCAGATGGTTCCACTATAAGATTGCCAGGTAAAGACTTATTAAAATCATCATTATTTTATTTTTTAAAATGTGAAAAGGTGTAATCTCAGAATAAGGAAACATTTGAAATTAAATAAATCAAGTTTATTTTTAAGAAGGAAAGATTAAAATCCTTCAAAATGTCACTGATTTTTAAATAAGTAGAAAGTCTTTGATTTTAAGCTATTCTTAAGTTTTAAAATAATTCCAAATATTTTTGGAAGAAAACTACTCACCTGTTGTCTTGCCAGTGTAGTAATACCCATATTACCCTTAAACCAGGTATACATAGTATTTCATAATTCACCAAGAGGTATAAAAAATAACAGAATTAAGAGTTCCCAGATTTCTGTAGTTTTCCCCTGTTAAAAATAACATTTTTAAGGCCGAGCCCGTGGCGCACTCGGGAGAGTGTGGCGCTGGGAGCACAACAGCGCTCCCGCCATGGGTTCGGATCCTGTATAGGGATGGCCGCTGCGCTCACTGGCTGAGTGCGGTGCGGCCAGTCTCAAAAAAAAAAAAAGGACAAAAAAATAATAATAATAATAACATTTTTAGATCTGCTTACAGATTTCCAACTAACTACATGAAATCTTTCCAGAAGCACTGATGGGCTCATTGAATACCCAGAGGCTATGCCAGCTGAAAATTTTAACAAATTCAGTGCACAGTTTCTGGAATATATATCCATGGGTTCTCTCCCCTTTTCCCATTCTCTGCCTGCCTGCCTTTCTCATGCCCCTGTTCACTCCTTGCTCAGCCTTGCACAGTTCTTTTTTAATATAAGCGTTCAATATAAGCAATACGTTTTTTTCTTAACAGATACTTAAGATGCATTCCACAAATTTTGATGTGTTGCACTTTCATTTTCATTCAAGAAATACATATTTTACTTTCCCCTGTGACTTTCTCTCAGACCTATGGATTACCATATAAAAGTATGCTTTTACGTTCCAAATATTTGGAGATTTTGCAGATATCTTTTCTGTCATTTCAAGTTTGGTTTTGTTATTATTGGAAAACATACTTTGGATCTTTTCAATTCTTTTAAATTCATATGATTTATTTTATGGCCAGCATATGGTCAGCCTTTGTGAATGTTTCATGTGCACTTGAAAAGAATGTTTATTTTGGCATCGTCAAATGAAGGATTCTGTAAATGTCAATTGATCAATAGTGTTGTTCAGGTCTACTGTATCCTAACTGATTATTTGTTTGCCTGTTATATCAGTTACTGAGGGAGGAGTCAAGTCCCTAACTGTAATTGCAGATTTGTCTATTTCTTTTTCAGTTCTATCAGTTTTTGTTTCACTTATTTTAAAGCTCTCTCCTTAGATGCACACACATTTAGGATTGGTACTTTACCTCTTGTCTTCAGCAGTTTTAATATACCTAGGCATGTGGGGTACTTTTTTCCTTCTTTTTTTTGTTTGTTTTGTATTTATCTTTCCTGGTGTTCTTTGAGCTTCTTGGATCTTTGGTTTGGTGTCATTTCAGAAAATTCTCAGCTGTTATTTCTTCAAATATTTCTTCTATCCTCCTGTTCTCTCTATTCTTCTGAGATTCCAGTTACACATGTTATATATCATTTGATATTGCCCTACAGCTGTTGATGCTCTGTTCTTCTCACCCATCCCCCTGCTCTTTTAAAAACTTTTGTGTTTTAGAAAGGGTAATTTCTTTTGGCCTGTCTTTTGGTTCAGTGAGTCTTTTCTTGGTTGTGTCAAGTCTGCTAATGAGCCTGTCAAAGGCATTCTTCATCTCTGTTACTGCAATTTTTTTATTTCTAGCATTTTCATTTGATTCTTTTTTATAGTTTCCAACTCTCTGCCAAAATTACTCATTTGACCATGCATTCTGTCCACTTTTCCGTCTAGACTGTCTAACATATTAATTTTGGTTGTTTTAAATACTCTGATGATAACTCCAGCATCTTTGTGGTATCTGGTTCTTGTGCTTGCTTTGCCTCTTGATAGTGTAATCTTTTTTTCCTTACATCTTTGCATACCTCACAATTTTTTTTGAAAGCCAGACATCTTGTATAGGACAGTAAAGAATGAAGTAAATAGTTTTATAGTTGAAAATGGCCATACATTTACTTCTGTGAGGACTTTAGTGTGGGGATTTTTATCCATTTAGTAGTTGAGCTGGGTTTGGGGTCTATTGCTGCTGTGATTTACCTGAATACACTACAAGCTTTAGATTCCTGTATCTTATGTTTAGGAGAGGAGCTGATTTGCCAGGGAGTTTTTCTCTGTTTCACCCTCAACTGTAGGTCTTCCCTTTGTGCTCTGCCTCAGAGCAAGTCTCCTTTCAGGCTATTGCTCCCTTCCCAGCAGTAGCCTGCTGTTATTTGTTACTAGATGCTTGTTAACCTGATTAGGGAGAGGGAATTCTCTGTTGTTCTGATTGAGCATCAGTCTTAATCACAGAGTAGGCTCTGTGTCATTGGGTCTTAGGAATGGGCCCTATTCATTGATCCTACCCCACTGTCAGCTGTAGTTCTGAGTCTAGGATCTATTTCTTTTTTTTTTTTTTTTAAAAAGATGACCGGTAAGGGGATCATAACCCTTGACTTGGTGTTGTCAGCACCACGCTCACCCAGTGAGCTAACCGGCCATCCCTATGTGGGATCCGAACCTGTGGCCTTGGTGTTATCAGCACCGCACTCTCCCGAGTGAGCCACGGGCCGGCCCTCTAGGATCTATTTCTGTCCTTCCTCCAGGGGTAGAATGTTTTTTCTGTTTTCTTTCCCCAGTGGCAGTGGGTTTTCACCAGTGCTCTAAAGATAACAAGGCTTATTGCCCTTACCCCAGAAGTTTAAGGTTTTTGTTCTGTGGGAGAGAAGTATAAAGGATCTAAGCAATGCTCTGTGCCCTAATCCCAGCAGCTGCTTCTTTCCCCCCACTGATACTTTCTCAGGACTCTCACCCTGCCTTCAGTCTTTTTTGTGTGCACCCAGTGAGGTCAGTGTAGAAGACCTTGCATATGAATGCAGAATTCCCCTGGTTATAGCCACTAGTGGTTTTCGATTTTTGCTGGCCCACCACCAGCATTTAGCAATTCATTAAAAATTCTTCTTACTGATGCCTTCAGTGTCCGCCCCAGGTTGAAAAAAAGGATTGCTTTCCTTGCTCTCTGTCCTCGGAGGCACCTATCTTAGATTGTGGGTTATGACTGTTCTTCAATGTCAGCTCTCTGACGGGTCTAAGAAAAGTTGTGATTTGTAGATTCTCCAGCATGGTGTTATAGTAGACAGGAGCAATGTCCCTTCCAGTTATACATCTTAATGAGAAGCTGGAAAAATACTAGTTTTTTTTTTTTAATTAGAATAGCATCAGCAGGAAGAAAGGGGGGTGGGTAATAAGAGTCACCAAGAAACCATAATATAGAACAAAAACATACAAAAAAAAAAACAAAACTAAAAACAGTCTACTTTAAACGTGAATGTACTGTTAGTCTGAGCAAAAAAAAAAAAAGGAAACCTACTTCAAGAATGAAGCCTAATAGCTTTGGGAGAGACCATCACCGATACCACATTGTCCAAGAATAGATGACTTTATAGTATAATTTATGCTTTTTACCAGGCTAAGTAAAAGCTTTCCTTTTCAAAAAGACCTGTCTGGTTTATAGAAGAAGATTATTTGATGGTGAGGTCTGATTCTTCCCTCCTCAAATAAAAGAAAAATTTTACTATTTTCTGGAATTTAGTTTTTTATCAATTCTAATTTTAAAGAAAAAACTACCTAGTGAGTCAAGCTGTTTTTTATTTCAGATTTACTTCAACACTATTTAGTGTTTAGTGATTCCATCTTTGAAGAAGTAATCAGAGCTAATTAAAATAAGTTGGATGGGGGCTGGCTGGTTAGCTCAGTTGGTTAGAGCATGGTGCTGATGACATCAAGGTCCAGAGTTCAATCCCTGTACCGGCCAACTGCCAAAAAAAAGTTAAAAAGGAAAAAGAATAACTTGGACAGTCAGCTGTACACTAGCTGTGGTGTACATTCTTAATTCTTACATTAAGATTTTCTAACGAAAGAAACCTTAGAGGTGTAACTCATGCAAAGTGATAATGGGGTTTTTGTTTGTTTAGTTTTAGTTTTTCCGTTTTGGCAAAATGATCTCCTTTCTAAAAGATGAATTAAATGTAAAATGTTTAACTAAAATTGAATGGTAGTGCATGAAGAACGAATAAGAAGATCCATAACTTCTATGTTCTTTTGGTATCAAATGTGGCGTAATGACTGAGACAGACCATGCCAGTGTTGTTGCTGGAGAAGAGTTTTCATCTCTTACCGATGTATGTTTCTGGTTCCTAGGGAAGGAAAATATAATCATGCCGCCTGCTTTGGTCTCCAGCCTGGCTGCCTTCTCCCTGATGGCAGCCGGATGATGTCTGTGGCTGCCCTTGTGGTCAACTTCTCACAGCCAGTAGCAGGCCGTCCCTCTCTCCTGAGGCACGATGAGGTGAGGACTTACTTCCATGAATTTGGTCATGTTATGCATCAGATTTGTGCACAGGTGAGTGGGGTTTTTTTTTCTGGGTTTTTTTTTTTTTTTTTTCCTGCTGCTGTCAGGATTCTGCCCATGACATATTTTTTCAGAAGTTCAGCATGTTCAAGAATTTCACAGGCCTTCTGCAAAAACACAAGACTTTCCTTATCATGTCCTCTTTCACAACATATTTTTACTCAGAGGTTAATCCATCAGTGAAAGAGCTTTGTTTAATACCAGCATATGAGAAAAGAAATAAGACTATCATTAAAGAAGGGTTACAAATACTATGCTTTGTCCTTTTAATTCTTTTCTTCTCCATAGGAATTTGAAATAATCATCACAGATAAACTGTACTGTAATCTGTCTCTTCTGCTGATTAGTGCTTTTTTAAAAAAATTTTTATTAGCATATTCATTGTTATAAATCATACTTATTCTTTATTTCCCTTATATCCAATCTCTCCTCTTTCCCCTCCCCCCTCAAATAACCATAGATTTGTTCTCGCCATCTGATAGAGTAACTGTTCCTCTGTTGGTTTGTTGCCTAGATGATCTGTCCAGTACTAAGACAGGTATGATCAGGTCCTCCCCTCTTTATCGTAAATCAGATGCTGCTTCTATTACTCTGGAGTGTGCTTTGTGGAGAGAGAGGACCTCTTCTTTTTTATTTTTTCTTTTAGTCTCTGCTGGTACCTCTCCTTGTGTCAGTGTAGTTGAGAGTCTGGTGCGGCATCTGTGTGGTGGCTGTGACTGCTGCTATAGAGATTAGCTGCTTTTGTGGCAGCCATGGCAATTGCGGTGGCTGTGGAGAGCTACCTGTGTGAAAATGGTGTTTTTGGTGTGCACTTTACCTGGTTGCAGCTGGGTTCGTCTTCCCCCGGCTCCATGCCTCAGGACTCTGATGGGGTCCCCGGATGGTGGCATTATTAATTCTTTAAAGAAGGGGCTGGCCAGTTAGCTTACTTGGGAGAGGGTGGTGCTGGCAACACCAAGGTCACAGGTTTAGATCCATATACCAGCCAGCTGCAAAAAAAAAAAAAAAAAAGCCCTCTCAGATCATTTATTCCTTTTTTAATAATAAATATTTGGAACACCTCCCTTTACTAACCTCAAATTAAAATAATCAATAATATAGTGTAACCATGTAGAGAATTTGCCAGAAAGGAGGTGTGTGTGTATAGTGGATTAAAACTGATTTATTTCTGAAAATGAAAAGTACATTCTCAACTTTGTAACACAGTCCATTTAGGCACTAACTACTCTAGCTGGAACCATATTAGCTTGCTGATATTTAACCATTATTAATGTCTAGCTCAGTAGTTCAACCTTATAGTTTAAATATACTGATATTAACAGTTTTCCAAATTTGAAATTTCAATGTGTCTCTAAAGGTAAACTTTTACAAAAATAATTTCTTTAAGATTAGTTTTATATCTACAGAAAAGCTGCAAAGATAGAACAAAGATTGCCCATGTACCCCTCTTTCCCCTCCTTTGAGCATTTGTACACTTGCACCAAGAAGCCAACACTGGTACAGTACTCCTAACTAAACACCACACTTTATCTGGATCTTACTAGTTTTTCCCTAACAGTCTGTATTAGTCTGGGGTTTTTTTGTTTGTTTTATTTTGTTTTGTTTTTTGCTTGTAACACAATACCTGAAACTGGGTAATTTATAAAGAAATAGAATTTATTTCTTACAGTTTTGGAGGCTGGAAAGTCCACAGTCCGGAGGGGCGTATCTGGTGAGGACCTTCTTCTTGGTAGTGACTCTCTATAGCAATGCAGGATGTCATGTGGTGAGGATGGCCTGAGCAAGAGCTAACCTTCTCACTCACTCTCCTTATAAAGCCATCAGAACCACACCCATGATAACTCATAACTGTTTAAATGGATTAATCCATTACAAGGGCACAGTCCTCAAGTTCCAATCACCTCTCAAAGGCTGAACTTTTCAAATACCTTAATTGGATTTCCTATCCTCTTAACACTGTTAAAATGGAAATCAAGTTTCCAATACATGAACTTTTGGGGGACACATTTGACCCATAGCATGGTCTTTCCTCAAACAAAGAATCTTTGCAAATCAATAGGGTATCCTCATTGCACATAAAAGAAATATTTTTTTTTCAAGTGGTAATGCTTGGTCATGGCTATGCAGGACGTCATAATAAAGTATTCAGGGGGTTTGCACTATGTGTAAATAATCCTGAATAAAGCAACCACTGCAGACTGATAGAAGTGGTTTGTGTTGTCAACTCAAGTCCAAGAATGGTACTCCCAGTGGTATCATGATTTTTAAAAATGATAAACACCTCCTGGGAAACTTCAAAAAAAAAAAAAGTAATCTAACTTTGATTTTTACATAGTAGGTGCTAGTAGTTGTAGTCTTGGAAAATTAAAAGTATAAAACATGTTTTACAAAAATATGTACAATGGAGTTAGTTTCTAGGCTCTCTTAATTATACTTTTTTCATTTATATGAATGTCCAGGAAGGCATATGAATGACAAGCAGGATATGGAAGGGTTGTTTTTTTGTTTTTTGGGGTTTTTTTATATTTTTTTGTCTTGACAGGTGCAGGATCAGTCCTGGACATCCAGCAGTCGTAGCTCCCAGAGCAGCCCCTAATGATTGTAATAACCAAAAATGTACCCATGCATTTCCAAAATACTACTATCACCTTTGTTTAAAACTGTTTAGTTCCTTCAACATTTTATCTTTATATTCTGGTGCTTCCATCTTTAAAAAAAAAAAACAAAAACAGAGGGGAATGGGATATGAATATGTCCAGATAAATAAATCCTGATATAGCCATTTCTAACCTCTCTTTAATACAAGGAAAAGAAATCTTTCAAAATAATCTAACTTTTCTTTCTTAGACGATTTTTTTTTTTTCCTTTTTTTTGTCTTTTTTCGTGACTGGCAACGGATCGCAACCCTCAGTGTCGCGCCCGTACCAGACCGGGACCGGCAACGGGATCGCAACCCTCGGTGTTGCGCCCGCACCTCGCTCAGCCAGTGAGCGGCCGGTCTGTATGTGGGATCCGAACCCTCGGCGGGAGCGCCGCCGCGCTCCCAAGCGGTGCACTGTAGCAGTGCGCCACCGGGCCGGACCCTTTCTTAGACGATTTTAAAGTGTATTATCATAGCACTGTGGTTTCTGAAATATTATATGAACCTTCCATGAGTGTCTGTTCTGTGGCTGACTTTTCCTTTAATTAGGGTAACTCCAGTTTCCATTTTTCTAAAATATTTTTATGAGTAATTTAGAAAAGTCAAATACTTAATTTTAGACTAATAGGATATTATTTAGATTATATAAGATCCAATTATGTATTTGTACCTAGATGAATAATGACCTGCTTTTAGAACAGTGATCCTCACTTTTTTGCATCTGACGACCATATGAAAATCTCATTTAACTTGTGGGTACTTTTTCCAGAAAAATGCACATATACCATATCCCCAAAAATATGTATGGAATTCCAAAGGGCTCACAGACCCATTGAAGCCTAGACCACAATGAATCTCAAGTTAAGAACTCCTGGAGTACAGCAGTTCCCTCATTTGGATGTTGGTTATTAGCTGATTTCACAAGGGAGTAATTTGGTGTTTTCATCACATTTATTAAAATAATAGTCATCTTCAAATAGGGTTTTCAATGTTCATGATGCATGTTCTTTTTTCAGTCACATTCCTCTTATAACCTTAGTATCGTATGCTTACCATGTATTCATAGTGCAGTTCTCCACAACTCATAATGTTGTTCTCGTTATTTCTTACATTGTTTTTGATCCTTTGAAATAGCCAGTTTAGTACTGGAAAATGTTCTTTTGGTACTTTGACATTTTAGAGCTGTTTGACTCGTCAGTGAACTATATATATATAGTGTTTACTAGTTTGATGTCTCTCTCTTGAAACAGTAGACTATATTCAATTCTTAAAGTCTTGCCTAACCTCATTCATGAGCACAGAATGTGTCATACTTGTGAATAGTATGTTGGTATAATCATTTGCTTGGCCGTCTCCTCATGAGATTATCTTTGAAAAATCTCTTCTCTGTCTATTAATCCTTTCAGATGTCTTATAATGCTTTAAGAATTTTTAAGGTAGTTGTATTTGGAACCAGTGATCACTGCTTTTGTCTTTAGTAGATACAGACCAATATATTTGCAGTTTATAATAACTTCAAAACCTTTGTATTGACCTAAAATGCATGGTAGTGAATAAGCAGATTCATAAGTTCTGTGTTCAGTAGTACTTCTGACTTATCTGAGAAATATACAGTGAATAAAAAATTTGCCATATATATTCAGCAGATTGGTTCTAAGATATGGCAGCTCAGTGTTTGAGTTCTCCACCGTGGCAGCCTACAGGTTTATGACCAGAAAAGCTTGTTTGAGCTTGTCATAGTAATATTCAAATGTGTTGGCAGGTTCCATCCAGTTTTCAAACAAGTAGATGCACTAGTTCAATATGGCTACGATCTCGTCATTCAGGAGACGAGTTTCACTCGTATTTTCTTGTATTTATACTGCAGGGTAGGTAATTTTAAAGATAGCCATCAAGAGTTGGTATCTCTAGTGCCTGTTCCTGTTTCGTGGCTTCATTGTGGCTTGGGCTGTCAGTAAGCACTGGCCTTTTGAACCTCCGTAGGCTAGGAGAGTAATGCCTCTTACTAGCCTCCATTGTGATGCTGCCCTGGATTGTATATGAAGGGCAGTGATGAGTTGTAAACTATAAAGAGATCATTTTAAGGAAACACATCAGAATCACAATAAAGCCTTCTTAATTAAAAGTGAAAGGGACTTCTGGTCAAGATGGCAGAATAGACAGTCCCCAGCTTCACTCTCTCCCACAAATCAACCAATTTACAGCTATAAAAAGGCAACGACAGCCAAGCTGGGACCACTAGAGCTGAGTGGAAGAGGAGGGGAGACCTGCAGAGTACATGAAGGCAGGATAAGCCACAATGAGAGAGAGAGAAAACTACTCTGACCGTTTTGTTTCAAGCCCCGGCTGC